ATATCTGCCTGGAACTCAGCTTTCTGAGGCTACGCGGAGAACATTCTCATCTGAAGGTTTGGGCTTTAAGAAATCCCACTTCATTGTTGTCTGAGACGCTTTTTGCCTCTGAGAGCTGTATTCTTTAGATTGTGTTGTACAGCTTGTGTTTTCAGTTACAATTTGGGTTGGGCATGTTTTTTCAGACCACTCAGTACCTTAAGCATATTTGAGCTCTGTGTTTTTATGAATTAGGACACAGCACCTATATATCTTAGGGATGGTACGAAAATAGCCATGAATTTATATACAGAAGCCAGAAAGTATCTAACTCCCCAAAAGTTACCCTACATGCTCCACTATAGGACAGTGTTGTATCTACGTCTCTTACCTTTGTTATAGTAGTGGGTATGGGCTATCTCCAACAGGCCAAAGACACTGGCCATGCCACCCAGGCCAGCATTTGCATATGAGTGCTCCAGGCTTGACACAGTGCATTTGAGCAAATCCAGCATCCCTTTGTAAACTTTGCGGCTGATTTCCTGTAATATGAGAGGCTGCCTCAGAAATGAGTAATCCATCCCAGCACATATAAGCTATGCCGGGATCCAACTGTTTTTTGCTGCTAAACTATTTTCTATTAACAGAGTTTAGGAGATAATTTAAGACATCACCTTGCAACACTCCCTACAGACCAAAGCTGGGCACAAGACCAGTTTGAGTAACACAGGGGGAGCGAGCACTGACCACATCCTGGATGACATCCTGCCGAGCATCCTCCTCCGACTGGATAGTGCGATTCAGTTTGCTCAGCACAAAGACGCGGAGCTGCTCACTCTCTAGCAGACGGCGGACTTTTTTCATGTTCAGCCAGCCTACACCCTGCGCGTCAAGAACATTGTGCACCACCTCCTTCAGGAACTGCTGATTCTCACTGCAGGATGGAAAGAGAGGAATAACAAGCAGAAAGTAACTAGTTCCTCTATACACAGAGTTTGAAGACCTAAGATATGACCTGGCCAGGACAACTGCACAGACGTATTCCATACCAAAACTGAATTTATGATGGGAGTATCTAAATCCAGTTCACTGTACTACTAACATAATTTCATCCACCCTAACTCATGTTTTACAGAAGCTGATCTCATCAAACTGCTCTAACTCAAAATACTCCTAGCTCCCCAGTGCAATTGGGCTAGGCTACTACTGCAGTATCTAATCTAATCCTTCTGCATCCTAACCAGGAACAAAAAAGAAAGAGACTAGTGGGTTTATCATGGTGTTTTCCTCCCTTGTCCCCCCCATGCCTATGTCTGCCCTAGCCCTCCCATCTGTGCCTGGCCCCCATTCCCTGCTCCCCCCTGCAGCCTGCCCCCCCCCAGCCCCCTGCTCTCTACACCCCCCACCAGTGCTCACCCCTTATACCCTGCCCTCCACCTCCTCCTTTCTCCCCAGCGAAGCTGACCCCCCTGTGCCTGGCCTCTGCACTCTCTGCCCACCCTCCCCTCTTACCTTCTGCTGCAGCTCTGATCCTCCAGGACATTGAGCAGCAGCAGTACCCTGGCCCTGCTCCTGCCCAGCCCAGCCCACCTAAGGAGAAGTGGTGACAGCTCCTGGCCAGGGCAGGTAGGGGCTGCAGGGACCAGAGCTGGAGCAGAAAGTAATGGGGGGAAGGGGAGGTGGAAGCTTGGTGGGGAGAAGCAAGGGATGGGGGAGAGAGGCTGCAGGTCTCCCCACACCTCATGGTCTCCCCAATATTCCCTCTGCTGCATGCCTCCTCCCCTGCTAAACAAATATTTCTAGCAGGGGCAGGCAATGGCTCAGCTCTGCTTCAGGTCCAAATTGAGGACCAAACCTGGAGCCAAGCCAGTGCTTGCGCTGGGCTGTACTCAGATCCAAGATGAGGCCTCCCTTCAGCCCTGGTGTGGCTGGGGATAATGGGGGAAACTCATCTTGGATTTGAGTAAATATGGTAATTCAAGAACCAGAGCCTTCTAAGAACCCAGACTGCAGGAAGAGACCCTTCAGAGCACAAAGTTACATAGATTTGAGCACAAACTCTAAGGCTGCCAATACCTTCACATTTTGGGGGTAAAAGCATCCTCTGAAAACTTAAGACCAGGAAGAAAACATGCCTTGCCAAAAAGGCTAACAACAAAGTCATCATCTTCAACAGACAATATAAACAAACATTTCCACAGGGGATCAGGGAACTTCCCTACCAGCGATGTGTATGCAAATAAGTTTTTAGTGCAACTTTTACCTGGAATTACTGGTTCGTCCCTGAGGTGATGGAGACTCCCTCTTCACTGTTGGACTGTGCTTAATAACTGATGATTTCTGATCCACCAGGGCCCGCCTATTCCCTAGTTAGGGGTGGAGACAGGATGAAAGAATAGTTATCAAAAAGGGAATCTGTGCCCATAGCAGTAACAAGAGACACTAAAGTTGGCTAACACTCCAATTAAATAACAGATAACAGACTTTGAACAAAATGGGAACTCGAAAAGCAGAAGCAAATACCATATTCTAGCATCACACATCGGCAGAAAACAGTAATGGGAACAATGCAGAAAGAGAAGAGAAGAGAAGATCATAATGAGAGCAGGAGGTAAAGGGCAGGTGAAGCTTGGCTGCTCTGCATGCAGTTCTACAAGAACTATCTTCAGATTAGAGACACTATGTGTAAAAGCACAATGCATGGAGGGGTGGGCTAGTATAGATTATGTGACACTGGTTACCCAGTGAGAAAGGTAGCCCAAAAGGCAGGCACAGAGGATGCTGGGAGTTGTTACATCATGCACAGCTCATGCTGTAGGGAACCCACCTTCATTGCTTACTGGGCCAGCTTCAGTAATAATCTCCATTATAGTATTTAACCCAAATACTGGGACACAAAATACACAATTAGTACTGTACTACAAAGTCACCACCCCTCCACCAAAAATCCAAGGTAGATTCCAAATTCCTCCCAGCCCCCCCCAAAACAAAACCCAATGACAACTGAGTAGAAAGGATGCTTGACGGCCCAGAGATGGCAGGGGCCAGCATTATTAAATAAAAGACTGGCCTTGCCCTGAAATTTGGCACCTGGGAACCAATGTATTGCACCTTCCATTCAAAAACCACCTGCAGCACTGAGAAAGTGAATGGATGTGCATGAAACAAAAATTAAAAAAAGATGGAAAAAATTCATAAAATAGCAATGAAATGGAGTTTACAGAGAAACAATCCCAGCATCATCTCCCTTCACAGAGTTACAAATGCAAAATACCACATACACTTGGGAAGAGGAAGAGTTACACAGCTATTTTAAATCTGTACAGAGACACAAAGACATTTAGAAAACATTAGGTATGTAAGTGAACCTACCAAGGCCAGCATGCACACACAACACACACATACCTCTATATGTACACAGAACAGACTGCTGTTAAAGAGAAAGCCCAGACTCATTTCCTGACATTCACATTTAAAAAAACCTGCAGTTAGAGTTGTCAAGAAAAGAAGGGGAAAAAACTGCTGGAGATGAGAGGTAAAGCATGAATATGAAATGGGAAAACCCATCACTGTTTTCTTCCAATGTGTGGAATCAACAACAAAATTAACTAAAACAATCCTACTGAAGAGTGCCCACACTAACACAGCTGTGCTTCCTACCCTGCACAACTGGAAATGGGAATACACCAATTAGTAGGAGATGCCCAGAAAATAATTGTGCAGCGTCTTTCCTAATATTTTCACCAAACCAAACCTGGTCTTCTCATTTTACACCCAAGGAAGGAATATTCATTTCAAAATCAAAATCCAAAGTCCAAAGTCAAAACACAAAACCCAACTTTTGGCCTTTGTTACAAGGTCAAAGTTCAGCAAACATCATACCAACCTTCATCCACATCCCTTCCCACTTCCAGATTAAAGTAATCTTTACCAATGAAAATGGTGAGGAGGAAAAAATAAATAAAATCAACGTATTAAAACAGAACAGTAGATTCTAGTAATATAGAAGAACCCAAAAAAGCAAACAAAGCCTTACTCTAGCTTGGCAACTGAAGAAGTCTCAATGCAAAAATAATAACAAGCCAAATAACTTCCATTATCATAACTACCTCTAGGTTAGACTGTACTGTGTAATGCCCTCGTGTACCAGGGTCATTTCTCCAGACTCCACTCCATATTGCTTTGTAGTACTACAAAGGAGAAGGCAGTGCTCTGCTTAAGGAAGCTATTACACACAGGCTTAGGGACAAATCATCATTCCCAAATGAGTGCTACTGTAGTAATATTTTACCTCTCTTCAGGAGAATTTCCATCTGGCAGCCTGAAAATATTAATTAAGCCTGAATCTGCATAGGAAATAGGTATTCTCCTAATTGTACAGAGGGAAACTGAGGCAGTTCTGAACAGACTTTCCCAAAGTCCAAGGAAGTAAGCAGAACAGACCCTAGAATCCTGCTGTCTGTCATGCTAAATGCTGAAGTGTATGTATTCTGTATGTTCAAGTGAACTAATGGAAGATACAGAAGACTCTCTCCTTCCTCACAAACAACCCAGTGCTGGAAAGAAAACCTGCAATGTCAAAAACCTATCCCAGATGAACACTGACCCAGGTCCCCAGAAAGCCATTCACTGTCCCCACCCCCAGAATGATTTTTTGGGGTCAAGTCCTTGGACTGTTTGGCAGCCTGACAAACTTCAAAAGGCAGCAGCTGGCAAGGGGAAGGAGTGGTTACCTTTCAGGCTGGGAAAGGGAGTGTTTTTGTCTCTCCCAGCTTTGGTTGGTAAGGCTAAATTGGATAAACTGAAACTTGTGCTGTGGTTCCGGTAGAGGCTGCCTACAACAGAAGAAGAAAGACAATTAAATGTCTATGCTCAATGCACACGCACACAATTAATTCACTCTACCTACAATTCATCTTCTTATTCAGATTTTGGAAGCTACACATCCCTAGCACTTCAGTTACATTCTGTATTCCTTTGTGCCCCTGAAAGACCAATATTAGCCCAATGGAATATTTTTCTACAAGTAATCAGATTTTTTAAGAGTTTAAGAATCTTATCTAAGTTTTCATACTGTTTCACTAGTATGGTATCAGAGCATCCCAAGGGTGCTGCAGACCATCTGGTAATATCCCATATTCTCTCCTCCAAGTCATAAGATTAAGTCTTTTGTGTTTTCAGATCGACTCTTCCTTGGGGGTGAATGAACTAGCATCAGATGAGGGAACAGAACTCTTAAAAATCTTCAAGTCATGCAAGCTCAGACTAAGAATTATGGATAGGGCCTCATGCACTCAGACTGAAGAATTTGCCAAAATAACCATTTTTGACATAGAGTTATACTCCAGAATCTGAGCTGTCTATGATAAAGAGAAAAGTTTTTTTAGCACTTTTGGTTGTGCTGAAAATCTTTAAGAACGTGTTTGAATGTAACTAATGCAGTCATCTGCCCAAGTCTACAGGTAGCCTGAAATCATTCTTCTCAGATAAAAAGGGCAGCTAACCCTGAAACCACCATGCTACAGCAAATCATTTAAGAGAAACATGCAGTTAACACTTTTATCCCACTATCCCAAACTCCCTTCCTTAAGTTTGGACCAAGCACCAAAAGTCCCAGCTGCCTTCCTGACCTGCTCCTGCATGAAAACTTCTGTAATCGTTGTCAGTATATTCCATTGCATGTTAACAGAAAAACTGCAACTGTGGGGGTTAGGTAAAGAATCTGAATGTAATATCTGAACAAGCAAAAAGGGCTACTGAATCTATCACAGTCTCATGTTGAAATAATTAAATACATCACTTTTTTAATTTAAACTAAGCTGCTACAGAATTTCTAGTCTGTACATCAGAGCAGCACAAAGTCCAAGGGTCTTAATATAGAATTAGGCCCAACTTACTGAAAAAAGCATGAAGCATCTTCAGTCACAGGTGCTGTGACTCCCAGAGTGATCTCTGGTAGAGCTGACGAAAGCTTTAAAGTTCAGCTGTCCTCCTGGAGAAGCTTAAAGGTGCCCTTCACCGGAGGTGTGACAGGGCAGTAGCAGCACACAGAGCAGTGGTGGCTGTTATTTTTGCCCCTTGTTTCCCCAAATCAATGCTGGGGGCTGCTGCATCAGTTGCCCTCCCTTACTTATGCTACTGCTCTTCACCTTGTTCTCACACCCTGTTCCATGTCCCTCTCCAAATGACACTGAAGTACAATCATTAACATTGATTTAGGGGATGCAACAATACATACTGGCAAAAGACATGATGCCACCCCCAAAACCTTCACTGCTGTTGTTGGAGATAGTGGAATTTGGGGAGCTAGCCCGAGAGTCTGACTCCGCATCAGAGTCATTGGCCAGTTTTAAACTGTTGGGACGCAGTGGCTTCTGAGACCTTAAAAAACAAAAGGTAGAGATGTTATTCATGGCCTTGTACAGACTCCAGAGGGATCTCCCCGACCCAGACTTCTAGGATGCATTCCACATCATGTTCAATCCACTTACTAATACTTTCAGTAGCATCCCCTCCCCTTGTCCCTTTTCCCTCTATAGAAGATTTTTTCTTTCTGCCAGTCTTTTCTTAGCATCTGGCAACATAGGTTTTTGCCAAATAAAACTCATGCATCACTAAAACATTATCTCAGATACCACCCTGCCTTGCCTTCTGCCATACCACAACAATGTTGCCATGAAAGGATTAAACACAAGTAAGATAAGGTATGACATACCCTTGTTCAAGCTTCCATTATTTTCCAGGACCTCTGAACTCTTTATGTTTTTATAAATTCACCCACCATTGTGGCATCCAATCACCCTGCATGTTGCTTCACAGAAGCCAGGATTCATACTGGCAGTTCCTTGGAGATTTCTAGGAACCAGGCACTGCCAGCAGGTGACACCTGCAGCACTTTTTGAAGTCAATAATCCTGTCAGTCCTCAAAATTTAAACAAAAATAAGCCTAAAAAAGGTACTGGCATTTGTGAACTGCAGCTACTGAGCACCAACTGGAGGAGAACATTAAGATATCGGAGATCTAGAAGATTTCTGAGTAAAAAGTTAAGCACCAAAGCATTTTAATTAGCAAATTGAATCTCACCGGTTCCCATTAAGATTCTGGTTGAATCTTGGAGTGTAGCTCTCCTCCTGTTCTTCCTCCTCCTCCTCCTCCGTAGGGAAGCCATACTGCGGTTCAAAATATGGATTGTCATATTCTCGTTTCTTCACCACTCCATCTGTATAGCTCAGGCTACCAGCAGGGCTTTCGTTCTCACGGCGTTCCAGATTTATCTTGGGAAAATTCGGTTGCAGTGGCAAGGTGGGAAGGTGGTTTGAAAATCCAGCAACCATCTTCTCCTCCATTTCTGCTGAATCTGCTGACTCCTGTGGACCAATCAAGTCACCAATTTGTTTACCAATTTTTATTTCCTGCTCTTTCTTAGATTACTATAGACTCAGGAGTTCTTCCCCCCTCTTCCATGAAAAGTCTGATCTTTTTAGACTAAGGGAAAAAAAAGATTTCAGTCTTTCCCTGGATCAGTATTGTCACCACTCTGTTATGTCTCTCTCCCCTCCCTAAGCTGAAAAACTCAGAGTTGCACATGTGTAAAGCCAGTTACTAATTTCAGGAGGACTGTTCCAGGGTTACGCAGAGGGACACCTTTACAACCTTACTTTTATGTCTTATTAGCTGAGAAATCAATCCGACTGCACCACAAGGTTATTAAAAAGCTTTGCATTTGTTCCTTGATCCTCAGACTCACCGTTTCCCAGACATGCTCCCAGTTTGTATCCACAGTTCCACCACCCCCTCACTGGAAGCAAAAAGCTATACCATTTATGTGGATTCACTCTGTGCCTGTAACACTTGCTGCAGCAGCCCTTCCAACTCACAAAAGTGAACTCCAGGATATTTGGCACTTCCACTGTCTGCAGATCTGATCGGATTTTAATTTTCAAAGCCTTCCAGACCCCTGTATTAGCTTCACTCAGTACAAACCCACCCCTCAATTATTTTGAGGTTTTTTGGGTTTGTTTTTTTTAATAATCAGATTATTAAAGATCTAATTGGTATTTGTCTAGCAAATACAAGTACATAAGCTGTCCAATGCGGATTATTCATCAAATTACTTCCATTAGGGTACATGATCTAGCGTACCAAAGAAATCTTTTCCTTGTAATATACAGTGCCCAGGCCTTATCAAAGAAGAGGATGGAAACTTCACCTACTCACAGCTTATCTAGCAGGAGTCATCCCTCACCCCTACACAGAAAGGACTATGCTCCCATTCCTATACTCTTTCCTCCTCCAGATTCTAACCCTTCGGGTGCCTCAGCTTGGGAGTGTAATGGTCCTATCACACACATGATTCACCCCATGAATGACTGTGCTGGGGCTGCTACTGGCTGTAGTGCTGGAACTTGAGCGAGGCTGGTTGTTGTCCTGGGAGTTCTCACTGTCCAGGGCCTGTTCATCTAGATCTCCTGAATACTCCTGGAAGTCATCAAACTCCACTTCACTAGCATCACCAAGAGCTGCATGCGTCAGGGGATCAACATCTGGAAACACAGAAAATGGCATTAAAAACCATTCACAACTCCAACCTCTTGCCCATCAGGATGAGTCACTGACAGAGAAAGGCTGCTTAGTACTTTACTGTAAAACATGACAAGACTAGGTAAGATTTCTTCAAAACCAAATATATATATATATATTTCTAGTGACCTCACCAGAACTCATAAAGAATTAATTTTTGTCTCCCTACCAGAAGTGGTTCCTTCATACCATGACTTATTGATGACTGGGAGTGGAGATGCTTATACTAGTATTACCCATGCTGTACCTCTTTTGTGGATGACAGACTTTAGCTTCCAGAACTATCAAACCAGCTGCATTCACCAATAACAAATTCCTGCCATCCTTTTCCTACTGTTCTTTCAGAGCATTGTTTGCAGAAAGGGGAAAAAGGTTTTTCTCCAGAAGGTGCCTGAAGGGCAGACCATAACATTCCTGCCTCTCATTCTGATTAAATGACTCAGAAGAATCATCTCTCCCAAAGCAAAAGTGAACTGGGGAGGAAGGGTGCACATTGGCCTAATGAAACTACAGCTCAGAAAATTACTCACTTGGGGTATCACCATTAATGTCACATTTCATCATCTCACTGACAAAGTCACCGAGGGAGGAGTAGGAGGAGCTTGAGTCATCATAATCCATGCTGTCACTGCCACTACCACAAGAAAGAGAGGGAGAGAGAGAGAGATCCTTAGCACTGCTTCTGAGTGTCTGTCCAAGTCCCACGTCAAACTGATCCCCACACATGAGCCACAGTTGTCTAGCTGGCATCAATCTGGGACTGGGGTCTGACTTCTAATTCAGGGCATATTTGTTTTTGCCTACTCCTTAATGATCAATCTGGGAAGTGCTGGACTAGGTTGAGCACATGTCATCAAGGCTCTCAAAAAGGAGAGAAAAGGAAGCAGTAAGTGTGAAGGAATCAACAAACACAAGCAAAAGAGCTTTCTTTTTAGACTAATAGAAGAGCCAGCACTATCTGTGCATTTGGTCTGTCCTCTGTGCTTATGTGCAAAAAAAGTCCCCGTGCCAAGGCTCTGCAGGCTCAGAGGCAAACAACAGAGCAGACAAAACCCTGTGAGGTAGAGGTAGAACCACCAAAAAATGAACTGCAGTTATTTATATTTTATTAAATATATGAATGAAAATAGTGGTAGATTAACACTAACAAACCTCACAGAACTGTATAACAATGCAGTGCCTCACTCTGGGCTGAGCTTTCCAGTACCAATGTGATAACCAGCATCTAGCCACTACACACTAATGAAATCTGCAGTGATGACATTTGAGAGTTTAACTCAGAGTCAACTTTCAATATGCAGTTTTCCTTTTCTGATGCCTTCCCCCCCAAAAATGCGTAAATGCAAACAGCCCGGGTGAAAGAAGCAGAAGGGAAGAAGGCTAAGAGAACAGCATGGAAGAAAGAAACACAGGTAGTTCTCGACTTACAACATTTCGAGTTACAACATTTCGCACTTACAACATTTATAAACTGACACCCTGTTTCAACTTTATGACATCAGTTTCAACTTATAACGCTTGATCCCATGTGACGCCACGCCAGCGAACAAGTTTGCTGCATTGCTCATCTCCCTGGAGAGCATCTGGCCAAACATCTTTGGACACTTTCTTTAAGAAAGCAGACAAGACTCCAGAAAAACCTGCAACCAAGACTCCTGAGAAGACTCCAGCTAAGAAGCATTCAAAAAGTTCAGCAAAGTCACCTCAAAGAAGTCCTTCCAAATCAGTACGATTGCTATTTACAATATAAATACATTAATGTAACTATATTACTCATCTATACTTGATCAAGTACAAAATTCTGGGAAAATTGGTGAAAATAGGGTATCGGGCCTTGGTTCAGGAACCAATCCCCCATTTATAACCTTGTTTCTTATGAGAAAATTGGTTCCGAGTTGCGTTTCGATTTAAGACGCAGTTTTCAAGAACTATCTGTGTCATAAGTCCGAGGATTGCTTGTACTGAAGTGCACGTGTAGCACAGATAGCAAGAGGAAGCAACAAGAGACAGAGGCAGGAGTGATATTAAATAAAAGCTAAAAAGTGAAGATAAAGAGCTTATATGAGAGAGCTAGCAAAGGGATCTGAGGCTGCTGTGATACAGGTGATACAGAGCATTAAAGGAGGAAAGTAACTAGCAATGTTTTCCACAGGCTAAAGAGACAATAAAGAACTGGACAAATTCTTGGAGGAAAGGGGAATCAGTAGCTGTTGAGCACAGGAGTGACGGACACAGCCCCTGAATTAGAACTTCCTAAACCTTAAATACTGGAGGCTGAAAGTGAGAGGAGCAGTGGAAAAAACACTCTGGTCATACCCAGTTCACACTCCCTTTTACCATCCACTTTCTGCCACCATGTGACACAGGATGCTGGACTTGATGGATCTATAGTCTGACCCAGTAAATGGCAATTCTTATGTGCTTATGAGGAAGTCTGGGAAATCAGAAGAGTAGTTTGAGACAGAAAACAAGGAGATGACTAGAATATCTAAAAGTGACCATTAATAAGCAGTTGAATCATATCATGTTCTCCACTAACCTGTCATCAGTTGGGTCAGAGTCTGTTTCCTTCTCTGTGGGGACACACAATGCTTCAGCCAGCTGGGAATTGCTGTCATAGACACGATAATGGATTGGCTGCAGCTGATGCGCATACCATTTTGGTTTGTCACCAATCAAGGCTGGATCAAACATGTCTGCACAAAAACACAAGGAAGGAGAGTTAATTGGATGTATTCAACAGTATCATGGCAGCCTGCTGACCCCAGTCATAGCAAGGTCACACTGAGCTATGCACAGCACAAATAAATTAAAAAAAAAAAAAAAAGAGTCCCTGCCCTGAGGAGTTTACAGTCTGCAGACAAAGAAAAACAGGTGAAAAACAAGGAAATGACTGGAAAGGGAAGAATAACAACTGTGATAACAACACAAGAAAAATACACAAGCCACTGGGAAAAGTACATCCTAGTTCAAGGAGTTGTATTTGAGAGGAAGATTCCTTCAAAGGAAGCATTTGACTCCACAGCTGGAACAGCATGGTGGCTACCCATTTTTTTTCCCATAAGACCTTCATATCAGAAGTTTTGGCATTTAGCAAACAGGAGCAGGACTTACTATTGTGGATCCTTTGAAAGGCATAGTTAGTAGGATTGAGTGACCATTCTCCAAAATATTCCACTGCTTGTGTCCGGGACAGTTTGTCTGCAAAAGGAGTTTGCTTTGGTCTGGAAGCAAGAAAGGAATTGGCCTGAAAGGCTACCACTGGTCGGGGGAAGAGACGAAGAGTGCGAGTATGCATCTGGAAACCCTGCAACACATTTGCAGAATTGAAGAACCTCACCATAGCAACCCTATAAAGAAAACAGATAGGGAAAAAAAACATGAAGGAGAGAGGACAAAAGAGGGCATCAAAGTCTCACCCAAATGACAATACTTCCCAGTAAAAGTATCTTCTGGGGAGGAAAGGGCAATCCCATGTAAAAATGACTGCCCCTGGGGAACAGCACTGTCTCAAGAAACTACTTTGTTTTAAATGCTCTTTCTTCACTCCTGACCTACAAAAAACTAGAACTCATGGTTCCAAAATGATCCCTTTTATTAGACCAACTGGAAAATGTCAATTTAATTGTCCTTTTCTGCGAGCTTTCGGGATCAAAGTCCCTTCGTCAGGCTCTGGGAAAAGTGTAGATGGTATAAGATGGTAAAAAGTCCCCGTAGGTTTATGGGGTGTATAAATGAAGTTTATTTCCTACCTATGGGGACTTTTTACCATCTTATACCATCTACACTTTTCCCAGAGCCTGACGAAGGGACTTTGATCCCGAAAGCTCGCAGAAAAGGACAATTAAATTGACATTTTCCAGTTGGTCTAATAAAAGGGATCATTTTGGAACCATGAGTTCTAGTTTTTTGTATGTCTTTTTGTTGCAGACCAGCACGGCTACCAAGAACACCCCTTTCTTCACTCCAACATTTTTTGGATCCCTCAATACACATGGCTGCCATGGAGCAACATCCTCCTTTATAACAGCTGACAGAGATTGCTATTAACTGGCCAGACCTCTTGGGTTATATTTCTTAGGCCCCCTCTACATGTTACAAGTACTGCAGTTAACTGTGTGATTACTTCGGAACCAGCTACACATGAAAAGTACTTATCACACAATAAAAAGCTCCAATCATCAATAAAGTTAGACCTTGAAAATGTGTATGAACTTCAAAGCTGGTTGCTATTCAGCTTTAATTTGCACACATAGCAGGGTCTCCCCTGCAGCTGAGAGCCCTGTAAGCTGTGGGCTCCCAGCCACAGGGATGCAACTTCCCCAGCAAGACCTGCAAGTCCCACAGCTGTTGGGAACAGAGTTCCCTCTAACCTGTACGGCATGCACGGCCACACAGGTGCACTCATGTCACGTTGTCAGGTGTGCCTGCGCAGCCGCACACACCACACAGCTTAGAGGGAATGCTGGTTGGGACTCTCAGCCCTAGCAGCTGCAGACTCTGGATCCCAGCAACACCCAACTTCCAGGACCTGGGTGCCCCCCATGACAGGAAGCACCTCAACTGAGGGGGCTGCAGCCACAAGAATTTGCTTGTTGCTGGCACAGGGGAGCCTAGGATCGGGCTCATCCTACACCAGCAATAAGGCACCTTGGGATCTAATGTGCAATCCCACAATTGTGCCTCCTGCCATGCACATGTGGCATGGCAGGAGGTGTGATTGTGTAGATCACACATTAGATCCAATCACACCTTTACCTGCCCTTGTAGACAGGGCCTTAGAGTAAATACAACTGTGTGGAAAGCAGCAAATGCAAATGTGTGTAATTTAACCTGAATTCACATTGTTAAGCTGTGGAAATCCAAGGACAGAAACTGAACTGGGGGAAAAATACAGGTAAAAAAAGGCAAGAAGGCCTGAAAGGTAGCAACCACAGGACATGATCATTCTATCCATCTACCCGGGCAACTTGACACAAACTTCAGGGTAACCACTGCCTCAATGTTTTTGTTTGTAAAGTTACTTCTAGCTGTCAGCATTTAGTTGAAAGAGAGAAAGGCTTGCACCTCAGAAATCCCTGCACTCCATCCCGAATGCAAAACCTCTGGAGATATGACACTAGTGTTCCAGCTCAGCCTCACCTGGTAGCCACGTCCACAGAGTCCACATCGTTACCATAGATCAGAGGGTTGAACTCCGTGGAAGGAGTAGACTGCAGGTCATTCTGTGGTCTTCCCAGGAGAAGTGTCATTTCTTGTCCCTCGTGGAACTTCTCTAGGTTAAGAATGGGCTGGGTATTCAGACTCATGCTGGCCAAAGCCTGAGAAATAACAAGTCACACTTACAGTCAGCATGAAACCACTTTTCATGCACTAATATTGTGCATACAGCTGCATTGCCTCCTGGGCAATCGCAACAAGTTGTACCAGGCTTTAGCATGCTTCCAGGAACATGTCTCACACCATCCTCTGCCCCTATGCTCAGCCGAGAAAGAGAACCCTGTGCTGGTCACTGGGCCCTGCTTTTGCTAAACTGACTCAACAGTTCCCTCACTAATGGCACAGTCCTGGAGATGGGCTCAGACTGCTGACCGGCTAATTTAAACACAGATGTCTCCAAGAGTCCAAAACCTGCCAGGTTCATGAGTGTGTAGTACTCTGGATCCCAGCAGCTTGACAAATAGTTATTCCTATCTGCACCTGAGAGCCATCTCCAGTGTTCAGAAATATCCTCCTTGGGCCTGAACAGTGCCATAGTATTATGGTGTCCAGCACCTCAGCAATTAGCTATCGGAGTCTAGTATCCTGGGACAATGCATGGGTATCTACACAGTCATACCCCTACAAAGCTAAAGCCATCCCAACCCCTGAGAGTGTCATCCAAGTCTTAATAATTTAAATGCACCTTCAGGAAGTTAAACCTTTGCAACCAAGGGAGTCCCCCATTTCCCTCTCTGCCCCATGAGTCTCCTTCCTCTAGCCTCCCTTTGATTATTTCCAAAAGTCAATAGGAAAAAAAAAACACAGAGAAAAGGAATAAAATGGAAAGTTGAGGGGGAAAAAAAGAGTAAAATAAAAGAACCTTGTTGTCAGGCGTGAGCAGCTGTTGCTGAGTGATTGCAGTCATGCTAACCAGACACTGGAGGCAAGATGGAAGATCACATGACAACACCAGCAGCCAATCAGAGCCAACACGAACACATGACCACAGAGAGACAGATGGAGAAAAAAAAATTCTATTACTACCAAATATCACAGATGAGAAAGGAAATAAAAGGGACCACAAATGGGCACAGTTCCTAAGAGAGGCCAAACTGTTCCACCCCAGACCTTTCTCCTCTGAAAATGAGGGCACTTCAGTCCACTGGCTGCCAGAGATCTTTTAATGAAAGCTTAAAATCCAGGGTCCCAGGTGCTCTGCACGGACACGTAAAACCCTAGTGCTTTATGTCAGATGTTAGCCTCAGTGTCCAGGAGGAAAGTTTCTCTGCTATGTCTCAGCTGGTAGTCAACCTTCTCCCTCTTCCTTCCCAGTGGCTACCTTGGAGTGGGGAGATGTATTCTGAATCTGGCGGAGTGTTTTACTATCCCTTGATGGAAGTTAACAAAGAAATATCATACTTTGTTATACTAATGTTCAACTTCATCCTGGTACGTGGGAGTTTTGATAAATAGCCCCCTGAACTACAAGAAAAAAATAAACAAATTCTGGGGTTGCAAGTGTAATTTCTACTGTTGGATCATTTACTGGTGATGTCCAAAGGATACCAAGTTTTCTACTGTTCTATATATATAGGGCAGAGAGAGAGAGAAAAATAGCAGCTCTCATCAGGTTTACAACACACTTTACCTGTAGGTACTGCATGCAGAGGGGGGGGAAAAAGAAGAGGAGAAAAAAAAAAAAAAAAAGAGATAAAACCTGCTTCACTGGATCAGCCAGTCATGACCCAAGCTAATTACTGGCTTAACGGGATGTCAGAGGTGGGACTGAGACCTCAGACACAGATAATAGAAAAAGAGGAAACGAGGGGAACCAACAAGAGAAAAACAGGGTTAATTTGGAGTCTAAAGTCTACACAGAGTCTATAATGGAGGGACTGCAACCTTCTACATTAGTAAAAGCCAGATGCAGGGAAACTGCAATCCATAGCAACTCTAATAGGTTGTGTGTGGTGTCTCAGGCCATGTCTCAAAAGGTACCCCCTAACTGGACCTATAAAGTTCCCAGGAGATTTCTCTACTTCCTTACTAGCTTACTTCTTTGAAGGGCAGAGGTAATAAGCAACGTCTTAGAGATCAGTATACATGTCACCCATAGTATTCTACAAGCCTGAAATGCTGCTGTCCAGCTTGAATGTTGGGGGGAACAGTGTGGGGGGAGGGAAGAGTCTAATGGTCACCTGCTAAAGGGGTGCTCCTAGCATCTTTAACAGGTAAGTTGAGGACTTCTCAACAAAGCGGGGGGGGGCGGAAAAAAGAGACCACAAAAGAGCAAACGAATTAAGTAAATGAAAGTGAATTATTCTGAGTAGACTCAGAAAGGTTTCTGCAAATGAAAGAACTGTCAGGCTTGGAGCATTTCAGAGACAGCAAAGTTACCAAAGGAGCCATATGGCCTTTGAGCCTCTAGAGAGTATATCCCTGCAGCTTTATTACTCATCTTTCCATATTGACAAAATATGCCAGAGCTGGAGGGATCTTCCAGCACTCCTACTTTCTTTATTCATGGTCAGTCTAAAAATTACCCATCACAATTATACACAGCTACCAAAAAGACCACTTTTAGCATGTTTTGTTCTAGGACAAGTGCTGTCCACAGCCACCCTCTTACTCAGGTTGGGAAGCCAATATTTCAATGATCCGACAGCACCTGCTGAGTCTCACTGGATCTTACTCCTCTCCCCACCAGCCTCCTAGTGCCCTGCTTACCTGTTTCAGGTGTTTTTTCAGCTCTGATGCCTCTGGCTCTGGTAGAATTGGCAACAGTTCTGCATTTGTTGGAACAATGACCTGGAATTAAACAGCAAAACAAATCCCAATAGTATCCACAGCCAGAGTAGACTCCCTTGGCCTTACCAGACATACTAGAGACCACGGCATAAAGGCTAGACACTGAGATGGCATCAGCACTTTGATTTTCACACCCTGGGGTTATTGTTTAATGGAGGAGTAACTTTACCCTTTATAACACAAAACAAAAAGTTTAACCAGCAGTTTCCTACCCTTCAAAATCCTGTTTATTAGAGGCTGTTACCTGCATTTCTCTTGAAACAGTATTACTACTACCACACTCCAGACTGGCGTATGCTGTTCCCTTTAAATTGCCACACCACATGCTACTGGAGGCCTCTTACAAGACCTAGTTCTATTCACCCCTGCTTATGAATTGAGAGAAGATGTAAAAAAATAAGATCGAATCTGCCAGGCAATGTGCTTTCATAGCTTCTTTCCTGGTTCATTCTACCTCTGCACTTCCCCACAAAGCATGTGAATGCTCAAGTTTAAACTATCCTGTAAACTACAGAATCTCATAATAAAATAAGATTAATACTATTTTTTCAAGTAATTTTCAACTCCAATAGGGAGACAAGTGTGGGGGCAGGACTGAGGACAGGCATCATACAAGCAGAGGGGCAGAAGGCAGCCTGACTTCAGCCACACGTGCACTTGTGCCTCTGCACCTTAATTTCTCAAATCCACCATGGAACTGTGATCCATCATCAAAACCACAGGTCTCCGGCAGGGATCACTTACCTTATTGGTGTCCAAGTCAACCAGCCACACGTCATCAGGCATTTTAAAGTCTAGTTTGTAAAGAAAGAAGCTGGCTGGAACCCCAATGATGTACGGTGTGGGAGCCAGGAGTAACTGGAGAGGAGACACATACATTAACAAGAGCAAAATCTGTATTGGTAACTCTGCTCATTGCCACCACCCTACATCCTAAATACATTAACTACAATCTGATCAGTTACGACAGCCTGTAACCATCCCACAAATCATCCAAGGGAGAGGTAATAAAAGGACAAAGTCCAAAACTCCTGAAGCAGGATTAAAACATCTTTCCTAAGGACATGCCAAAATGAATGAGCTTTCCCTTGGCTATGTAACCAAACTCTTGGGAGAAGGATTTAACAGAAGCCCAACAGCTTGCTGTACTTGTCACGGGCGCAAAGGAAAAGATGTTCACAGCAAAGATCAAGCTAGAGTAAGAACAAGTCAGACATGTATAAACAAAGCACAAATGCAGTGAATCAATTTTGTACCCCTCCAGAAAGAAAGCCATTTAAAAAAAGAAACACTCACAAAAACTATCTGGGTTTCTAGGCTGATGGCTTTCCTAAGGCAGCACAAGCAATGGAAAAGAATTTTCAAATCTGTACTGAAAAACTAGAGAGAGATTCAAGTTGCTTTCAATAGCAGAAGGTAGAGAGGAGAACACTCACATCAACAAAGAGATACTATGGGGAAAGATAAAAATTACATTGGGTTGCTTTAGACATACAGCAGAGTAAGACTAGTGACTTGGAGGTGAAAGGGTCTTTTGTTCCTTAAATCCCCAGTCAATCCTAGCTGGAAAGGGTTCTTGGGGCAAAAGAACTGAGAGCACAACAGCAGAACAGCAATGGAATCAACAAGGTAACCTGAATGCTGCCTCTCCAAAGCTATAACGATGGGTTCCTACAGGAAGCCTGCTGCCAACAGAAGCAACTCTGAGGAAGGAATTGCAGATCATACTGTTTACTGAATGGGAATCTTTGACAAGATCTTAAAAAGGGACCCTGTGCCTATTTCTGAATAGTCACTGGGTAAGGGTACTGATTTGCTCATGTCCTTGGCAAGGCATCCTTCCTCTCCTCCCTTAACAGTGCAGCTGGTCAGTGGCTTCTGTTGTAAATAGGGCTGTTTTAAACGGAACTCTGTTAGCAGTTCAAGAAATGATTTGGGATTAAAAACACTATAGAAATGTAATGCAAAACTACAATTCACAGTCATGTGGGATTGACAATACATAAACATTGCCCCTGTGCAGAGGGGGGTTCAAGAAGAAAATTACGGCCCTCTTTGCGGAACACAACTTTTGCAGCAAGGGCAAGCGAGAAAATATGATGTACCTGCTCTGCAGAAGCCATGCAAGTAGGCAACAGCGGAATCACTGGGAACATGTACTCTAGTGGATAGATCATAGCCACAAATGCCATCACAGACATAGAGAGAGCATTATAATCTCGGGATTGCAGTACAACCTGTGGCCAAGAAAACACATGTTAGTACCACAGTCACCACTCTTCCAGGCCTTAAAGAATCTCAGGGTCCACAATAAACTACACCCTGGTCCAATATTTCTACTGGGATATCAGAGCTGCTGCTCTGCCTCCCTGTTGCTTGGCAATGATGAGATGTCATGACCCAGTACCAGCAAAATAAGCTTCTTAAACCAGTGGGTTTCAACCTTTTTATACTTGAGGCACACCTTGGAAAATGCCAGCTCTTAGTTTTCATTCAATTTTTGACTACAGAAAAATAGGACAATTTTTCTGTTGCAAAGAACTCAGAAAGACCTGCAGCATGTTTTCAACACTGGATTCCTATTTGAAATCTCTGTGCTTATCTTGTGATTTATGTTCGCATTCCTAACAGTGCTAACAATGTGTGGTACCCACTAGGCACCCCTGAAAGGATGTCAAGGCATCCCAGGCTGAGAATCACCATCTTAAAGACTCTGCACAGAGAACAAAACCCTCCCACACTGGAATCTCAAGTATGGCCCAACCCTGGCTCCTATTCAAAAACTGTTCCCTATGACCATACTACTTGCCTCTTCATAGTTAGGTTCCTGATGAGCTTTGATTTGGGGCTGGGTTAGTATAATCTCCTGCAAGGGACATGGTGGACTGGAAACAAAACCCAATTTTTCGTTCTTCTCACCTTATGCTCCAGAAGAATACAGGACAGCACCTGCAAACAGGCCTCCACACCCAGTAGTTCCAAAGGTAGATGCAAGGGGAAGTCCACCAAGGTGAAACGGGATGGATCAGGGAGGGCAAAGGTCAAGGCTGGTTGCAACTCATGTGGCAAGACTTCCACATCCACCCGCTTCTGACCAGCAATGGGCACAGGTGAGCGGAGCAGCCGGTAAATCCAGGCTTCTATCTCACGGAGATCATGTAGCAGTGCACTGGACTTCTCCTCCACTAGGAGAGAGCCCGTGAAAATTCGCCACATAGTATCCCTGTGCAGCAAGACAAAGATTAAGTGAATCTCATGAATGCAATCTGGAGCTGCTCCACACAGACTTAAAAATCTCCTCCATGACAGACAAAAGTGTATCTAGCTCTTACTGGTCAGCCAGGGAAAGGGAAGAGACATTAAAGCTGAGATAATAGGAATATCAACCCTTTGATTACAGTAAGAGCCACAGCTATAACAGCTTGGTCTGGTAACTTATCAGCTAAACAGGGCCCAAACCCACCAAAGAAACCCCAGAACAATAGCCTGTTGTTGCAAGGGACTCCACCCCAACACAGCATTAGGAAGCTCTGAGTCACTGGAGGTCACACAACCAAAGTCCTAATGTTTAAAAATATTTTTTTCTTCTTAAGAACATGGGAATTCTGCTAACCTGGCAAATTCCAGTTTAGTTAATAACAGCATAGCTTGCAAAATACCCTCAGCAGTTTCTATTTGATCTAATATTCTTTTTTAATTTCCTGTCCTAAACTGTTGAACTGGGGGCTGCTAAACAACTGAAGAGTCCCACAGCAGAGGTGGCCACATTTCAGATGGGAAAACCGATCGCTGCAGGTGTTCCTTGGCACGCGAGAGAAATGGGTATCCAGTAACAGAAATATTCCTATCCTCTGGCCCTTTTGTGATACTCCCATTTATAAAAGTATTCAAACAACATTTCCAGCTTGGAGACCTGAAAGTCACTCTTGCTTATGAAATCTCCTAAGCAACAGGGCTCATAGTCTGAGGCCTAGTCTAAGCACCTCTTTCACAGCTGGACACTTCGCATCAAAATATTCCCTTCCCTAAGATGTAGTCTATATTTCCTCTTTTTGCTGACATACTGGAAAAGAGCAATCTCTTTCTGGTCATTAAGTACTGTGAACTAAATACAACACAGAAACAGTCATACAAAATACTTTTGCCCCTCCTGCTCTCCAATGTGATGGCTTGGTCTACACATCCAAAACCACAGCATGAGATGGCAGAAGAGGAGGAGTTTAGATGACTGCTAAAAAAATCTTTCGTCTCTCTTAGCCATTCCCACTCCCAAAGTTGTTTCCCCTCTAAATGACCATTTAATGCCTGCTATTTTATTTCATATGCATCAGCTACACTGTCCTTCCCCTACCCAAGTTGAAATGTGCTGTTATTTCTTAGCTATGTTTCTAACTGGTGAGGATATCAATCCTGGCATGCATCACCGGCACTCAGGTAATAAAGGAACAGTGTCAATGATGAGACTTAAAAAGGACATATCATGTTTTAAGTTACTAACAGGATGTGGCATAACAGAGGTACTTCACATAGGCAAAGGTTAAAATCAGATCAGGTTACTGAAACAGAGAGCAAGAAAGGTTAGCAAAAAGAAATGCAAAGCATTCCCTTTGTCCAGCAATTCTGAATTAGAACAGATTATGTCTGACAACTACCTGCATCCCTCTCTCACCTCCCTGTCACACAAACACACATCAAGATCTTCTGCAGCAGAAGCTAAGGCAAGGACACATAGCCCTGGACACAGGAAAATTCCTAACTCTCCCCACATACCTCTGTACTCCTCGAGGGATGCCTAGCTTCTTGCCCAGCAGCCTCTCACTGCAGCAGTCCACCAGCCTTTTCAGGGTGTACAGACACTCACGGAACGTGGAGACAAAGGGGTAGTGGCTAAGGATGCACAGGGAGGTCAGGGTGCTGTTCCGGGAGCGGTGAGTGCCTTTGGTCAAACGCTTACTGCGTGGAGACCGGTTCACATCTGGAGTAGACTCTGTGCTTGGTGCCTGCAGTGAAGAGCCACCCTCTGAATTCTCATTGCCCACTTCTTCTTGGGCAACAGAAGTGTCCCCAGCCTTGGGGGCTTTCTGTCCGTCCCGAACTCGATGCCCACCAGTGCCTTCTCCTTTCTCCTTAGGCAATCGCTTCTGGAAGGAGCGGTAGAAGTTGACACATATCCCATAGCGAATGACACCTGAATCCTTGTCTGTGAGCGTGAAGACAAAGGAGGTGTCATCACGCAGACTCATGCGTTTCTGCCGTACACTTAAGCATCCCTCTGGCTGGCAAAAGAACACCACATCAGGGGGCAAAGGAAAATCCACATGGTCTTCTAGTGGGTAACGTCGGAGCAATTCAGGGGTCTGGGCAACACTGTCACTGCTCGGCTGCCTACAAAGAGCAAAACCATACAACGATTAATCACAGCATAAACTTTGGCCATCTCACATGCACCTGTTCATATTCCAAAGTCCAGTTTCAACCCCTTGCTCTCTCTCTAACACATGCACTGAGCACAGCTTTTCAACTGTCAGTCATTGAAAAAAAGCCAGGAGCACAGAAGGAAAAAAGCAAAGGAACAGTTTGCAACATCATAACCATGAATCCGAGTTTTCCACTTGCCACAGAAAACTGGCGAAAATTTTCCCCTTTAAAAGAGAAAAATGTGAGAAACCATGGGTTTCCCTTTGCAGGCTGGCAGCCTTCCAGCCTGAAAGTGGCTTCTTGGGGCTAGGGAAGGCCAGGGATGCCATGTGCATGCGCGTACACACACACACACGGCCAGCACACAGCCGGGCAGGGTGGTGGGAGCAGCTCCAGCAGCTGCATACAGGTACGTCTATTTTTTTTGGGGGGGGGGGCCTGCCCAGAGGCACCTGCCCCTCCAGCAAGGACAGGGAGCAGAGGGAGGCCCTTCAAGGGTGGCGAGGAGCTGCGTGGTCAGGCCAGTGGTGCCAGAGGCCAGTGTTTGTGCTCTCAGGCGCAGGGGCAGGGCAGCTGGGAAACGCTGCCCAAGGCAGGGGAGGGAGGGGCGTGGCCAGGCCAGTTGACACGGCATGGGAGCCCCAGCCGCACAGAGCAGGGGGTGCCACAGGAGTCCCCTTCTCCTCCCTCCAGTCCATGCCAGGGCCAGACTTGCTCTGCTGCTGCCCACATGAGCCACAACCACCACACTCTGGCCCAGGCAGGACAGAGACCACCTGAAGCCCCTTGCCCTCCTTCTGCTGCCTGCAGCATGGCCTGAGCCAGAGCTGCACTTAGCTTAACAGCACTGCTATGGAGCGCAGTGCCAGTTCTCCCTGCCATGCGTCAGCCCCAGCCATCAGCGCAGGGCAGTGCATAGTGCCTCAGCTGCCGCCTGTGCTTCTGCATGATCAGATACTGATAAAAAACCTCAAATCAAATGCCAAAATATACAGATATTTAGAATTTGTTTTATTATAATGATTGAGGCACTGCTAGGCTTCCAAAATGCTTTAAAATTGGAAATATATAAAAAAAAACCCATTGTGTTCAACTGATATCCATCCATCCATTGTGGCATTTGATTTTTATTGCAGAAAAATGCAGATTTGGGGATTTTTAATCAGAATTTAGGATTTTTAAACAGAATAAACCAGGATCCCTGATCATAACTAAGATGGAAGGGGCAGCTCCTGGGAAATGGTAATCCATGGGTGTACTGTTACAAGAATGTGTCACCCTGGTAAGAGGAGTTTCCCTGAGTTTAGTTTTTAAAGTATGTTCAACTGCAAAGGTCTCTGGGTAACACTTAGAGAAAATGCTGCTTTTTTCTCTTCCAGACTTGGCTCCTTGAATGATAATGCAGCCAGCTTGACCCAAATCCAGTTGATTTTACCCTTGAAACAGATGAAAATATTGAGTGAAAAAAACTGCATTAATTCCCAAGCTGAGACAACAGGGAACTATCAGGTCAGGCCTCAGGAGAAGCTCGGAAAGACAGAAATATGCAGATGCAACGACGGTGGCATGGAAAATCACCTCTCACCACAGCCATTGTGCATTGGTTCAAATGCCCTAACCTAACTGACACTCTCCACCACTGGGTAGAAATGCACTTTATAGACTAAATCACAGATGCATGAGCTTTTGTGGGCAACAACTCACTTCATCAGATTCTGAGAAAGGACATGCACAGAGATAGGACTGCTCTGTGCATGTGTTCTCAGTATCTGATGACATGAGCTGTTGCCCACAAAAGCTCATGCATCTCTAATGTAATTAGCCTATAAGATGCATCTTTACCTTGCCTTCTGCCCAACTTCAGACTAACACAGCTCTCACTCCCCACCACTAACATGGCCCACTCAGTCTACCTGGCACAGGTCACCTAAAAGTCATTGTCACCTATGAGCAAGACAGTGAGAAAGGAAGTTCAGGAGCTTCTTCGTCAATAGACAAGGACAACTCCTCGCAATGTCCTGCCACATCCTGGAAAGTAGGCTGTGGTACAAAGAGAGAGCTGTGAAGTCCAAATTAGGCCAGCAATCTCCATGGGGGGAGAAAACCACTCCGAGATCACAGCTAGGGAGCTACTGAGATAGAAGTATACTAAACATCAAGGATAAGTAGGTATCTGAATTGATGTACAATGCATAAGCTATAGTAACCGCAGTGGAAAGGTACCAGATCCAAAAACCAAAATATGCATAGAAATCAAAGGGAGAACAATTTTGAAACTTTTCTAGCAAGAAAGAAAAACAGAAGAAAGTAAACAGTTTAGTTTCTATTATGATAAAACCATATTATAAGCGGTCTTTGTTCATGTACAAGGTTGGCTAAGCAAATGTCCCTAACACAGTCAGAATAAGATTTTTTGGTTCATTATTAGATAAAGCACAGTACAATATTTTTGCTTTTGATAATCCCAAAGGATACATCCTGACTCCACAGAAACAAAATCAGTGGCAAAATTCCTACAGAGATCAGTGGAGCCAAGATTTCAGCCCGTAAGTTTCACAAGAGAAATTTTAGTAACAGGATAAAGGTATGTATTCTGTTTTGATTTTGAAAGTGGCATTTATACTTTAGATTCACCGAACTGCAAAACTTGTTAAATTAACATGTAGGAATATCTAATTCAGTGGTTTGCATGATGGTAACTGATGGGGCCACTGGTGGTCCCTGGAGAGCTATCTGATCAGATAGCAAGTGCTACTTCTTTCTTGTTTCCAGCTAATGAACTGTACAAAAAGAAAATGAAAAAAATTAATTACTTTCCTGTTATAATTGTCAATGGGAAGTTGTATGATCCACATGATTACAGACGATAGGGATATTCATGGGACAACCATTAATTTCATAGATTTCATAGACATTAGGGCTGGAAGGGGCCTAAGAATATCATCGAGGCCAGCCCCCCGCCCGAAGGCAGGAAGTCAGCTGGGGTCATAAGATCCCAGCAAGATAAGTATCCAATTTTTTCTTGAAGGTGTTCAATGTAGATGCTTGAACCACCTCCGATGGCAGGCTATTCCAGACCTTGGGTGCTCGGACAGTAAAGAAATTCTTCCTTATGTCCAGCCTGAAACAGTCTTGCAGTAATTTATAACCGTTCGACTTCGTCATCCCTTGGGGCGCTTCTGGTGAACAAACATTCCCCCAGATCCTGGAGGACACCCCTTATAAACTTACAGGTGGCCATCAGATCGCCCCTGAGCCTGCGCTTTTCCAGGCTGAAGAGTCTCATAGCTCTCAGCCTGTTGTCGTAAGGTCTGTTTTCCTGACCTTTGATCATACGCGTGGCTCTTCTCTGGACTCTCTCAAGCTTCTCCACATGCTTTTTAAATTGTGGGGCCCAAAACTGGACGCAGTACTCCAGCTGCGGCCTCACCAAGACCGAGTACAAGGGGAGAATGATGTCCCGGGATTTGCTTCAGAAGCATCTACGGATGCAAGCAAGCGTTTTGGATGCTTTACTAGCTGCAGCATTGCATTGCAGGCTCATGTTCATCTTGTGGTCAATGATGACCCCCAAGTCTCTTTCTTCCATAGTGCTAG